TTTCACATGGATGTCCTCACGACTGGATAGAAATCTCATCACTGTTACCACGGGCCAGGCTGTGGATGCGTTTGACCAAGTGTTTCGCTACCTGTATGTTACTTCTAGTTTTGTTGACCTCCGCCAAGTCACCACAGATCCTGAGCCTGAACCAGACACTCGACATCAGGTTTTATCCGTGGCTCCTCCTCCTGCTGCTGTTGCTAGAAAACTATACAACCCCAAATATGCCCTTGTTGCTTTAAGTAGCCCTAGCCCCGTGAGCTCAAATAGTAATGATAGCCCTAAACAGTCTGAAGTTTCAGAGGAACCAAAAAATAAGAAGAAGCAGAAGAGAACACGTGAAGATCCGCCACAGGATGCTCCTCCTATCCATCCTGGACTTTTAGGTCTAGAGAAAGCATGCTTACTCTCATATCTGCCCACCTGGCCAGAACCTGATCCACCAAGCGATGTGATAGGGTTCATTAATATCCGGGACTCTAAAAAACCAACCCAAGTTCATCTGCAACGTTCTGAGATGTTTGAAATCAGCCAAGCAATCAAGTTTAGCAGTCCAATCAGCAAGCCACAGGAAACTTTGCCCGAGGTTGCAAAGCCCAGAAATCGAAATGCACAAAGTGAACCCAAGACTGATGGTTTGTTGGTGGATAAAGCAAAACCAGAAAAGAAAAGTATTGACAATAACAATGAAGAAATGGCACCTGAAAAAAACTCACCTTTGCACAGACAAAAGTTAAATTTCGACAAAAGCGAAACTCAAATTCTCCAAATGGAGAAAAAACTGTGTTCAGATTCAGATTCAGGTCCTGTTTCTTTTATTTCACAAGCACTACCACAATCTAGCAACAAAGCACTCACACCTAAAAATGAACAACCTTCACACAAAGCCCAAATTACCTCCACAACCAGTTCTTTGTCAGAGTCCCTCAAAGAATCTAAATGTGTAAAAGAACCTGAAATTGCGACTGTCTCACAAACACAAAGTACTTTGGTGGATCCAACAAACACCCTGAAGTCAAACAATGCACACAAATCTCAACTGCACAATCAAACTCAGTTAAATACAGAAGAAAATAATGTAGCATCACATCAAGAGTCACACAGTAGTGCTGCTAATACACAACTTAGAATCGCCTCTGAAGAGACTTGTGACCTCCAGAACACTGACAGTCCAGGGCACATTGCAACTTCTTCTGTTTGTCCCAAGCAATGTGAAAGTTCACTTTCCAAAAATAATCTTGTGAATATTACTACAGCGGCTTCTACCACTGCTACAAGTTCTTGTAATTCGACTCCCTCTACTAGCTTACCTTTGACCCTTCCTCCACCCACGTCTTCTTTTCCAAAATTACCTTTACACCCGTCCTCTGCATCTTCTTTTACAAGTTCTGTGGCTCCAGACTCTAAGCCTTGTTCTGACCAACTATTTAAACAAGACAGAGTCAGTGACAATACTGAGACAACTCCAGGGATCTCTGTGGACAAGAGGTCTAAGACCAGTTTAGGGCCACAAATTGTTACAGATGCTTCTGCTTTAACAAGTTTGGTGCAAACATCTCCAGTAAAAAATCTTGAGAGTGGCCCAGATTTGCTAAGAAACAGTGTCAGCAAAACAAAGTATCCAAAACAAACAGAGAACACAAACATTCCTGAAGATAC